TATATATGATGATATTACCTATGCAATTTTTGAAAGATATAATAGAAAATAAGATTCGTATCTCCCTTTCTTATTTTTATTCTTATTCTTCTTTTATTTTCTTTTAACACACACACACACATACCCGTTTATCTTTCCAACCAACCAAGGGTGGAAAACAGATGACGAAGCTCAGCACCCATACCGTGGCAACTAGAAGTTTAGCTCGTTTCGGTGACATTAACTGTGAATCGAATAAAAATTAATTTTGATCAGTAACAATTGCATACAAAAATAAACAAATTCACGTATGTTAACAACAAAATATATATATATTTAATTAAATTAAATAATAATGCATTATATGAATCAAAAGTTCATCCGTTTATTGTGTTTTATTAAAAATATTAATTACAAAAAAAGAAAAAAAGAAAAACGTACCGAACTTTTCCATCATCCTAATATAATTTAATCGAGAATACCGTTGCTTGACATGCAAATTTATTTTCCATTGAATTCAATTCGTTTTATTATAATAATATCTCGTTTTTGTTCGAAAATAAAAATATGAAAATGAACAAAAGATTTTATTGTGATGGGAGTTTAAATGCAAAGGGACAGAAAAGGAGAGTATGAATGAATGAATGAATGAATGAATGAGTAAATGAGAAAGAATGATAGATCGAGAAAGGATGTAGGGCTAAATAAAGGACTATTTGAGATATTCCAAGCGTTCGAATGATGTGCTGTTGATTACTTGCCTGAGGATAACTGACGGGTCTGGTCACCGCCAGATATCTGTCGAGACTGATTGCACAAAGGTTCAGTATCGACGCGGTGCACATCCAAACGTCGACGGCTAGCCAAACTGAACACCATAGATCACCGAATATCCAGACCTTCGGAAAAAAGAAGAAGAAGAAGAAAAAAAGGGAAAACAAAGAGTGGGAAGTGGGACAGAAAGAGACCAGAATAAAAAAGTTAAAGAGAGAGAGTGTGTGTGTATGTGTGTGAGAGAGAGAATAAAAAAGGGGGACAAAGTTTCACACGAATGAAAACGATTATTGTCATATAAACCTGTTGAGAGATATCCCATTGAGATAAACGGACAACACGGGGATGCATTTTTTGTTGTTTGTTGTCCATCGAATACTTCCATAGAACCTTTCGTGCGAAACGAAATAATATCGGATAATAGTGGCTTAGTAAAGTAATACACAGTCAAGTT